AATGCCCAAACTTTGTGAGTCTGTCAATTACCACCAAAATAACATCTTTCCCATGGGATTTGGGTAAGCCTTCAATAAAATCCATACTGATTTGGCTCCATGTATGTTCTGGTATGGGTAAGGGTTGTAACATTCCTGGGTAGAATCCATTCTCAAGTTTAGTTTTGGCACACACCTCACATTCCTTCACCCATTGAGTGATATCTTTTTTCATCTTAGGCCAGTAAAATACCCTCCTGATCCTCATGTAGGTACCTTGTATACCCGAATGGCCCCCAACAGCTGAACTATGCAGTTCTTGAAAAATGGTATGCTTGAGTTCTGTTGCATTACCAATGACTACCCTTCCTTTGTATCTGATAATGTTCCCTATGATCTCAAATTCCAGGTGTGATGTAGGGTCCTCTAACTTTTCCTTCTTTATTCTGGATATGAATCCATCTTGCTGGTAACTATCTATGACCTGCTCTACCCAAACAGGTTGGACCCTTGTTAGAGACCAACAATCCCCATCACTGTTTTCCCTTCTAGACAAGGCATCTGCAACTTTATTTTCAACCCCCTTCTTATATTGTATTTCATAATCCATTCCAAGCAACTTGGTAATCCATTTTTGTTGCAGTGGAGTAGTGATTTTCTGATCTAATAAGTGTTTCAGAGCTTGCTGGTCAATTTTTATTATGAATTTATTTCCTTGCAGGTAACTTCTCCATTTCTGAATGGCCATAAGTACAGCGAAAAATTCCTTCTCATATATGGAAAGCCCCAGTTGCTTAGGACCTAGTTTCTTGCTCAGAAATGCAATAGGTCTGTCCCCCTGCATTAGTACGGCCCCAATGCCCTCTCCACAAGCATCAGTCTCAATGATGAAAGGCTTAGAGAAATCTGGTAGGGCTAAAACCGGGGTGGTAGTCATGGCAGCCTTCAATTCCCTAAAGGCTTGCTCAGCTTCAAAACCCCAAACAAAACCCCCTTTTTTCAGTAGTGAAGTGAGGGGCCTACTGATGATTCCATATCCTTTTACAAACTTTCTATAATACCCGGTCAGTCCAAGGAAGCCCCTCAGCTCCTTGAGTGTTGTTGGGGTTGGCTAGTTGACCATACAATTAATTTTATCTGGATCAGTAGCCACTCCATTTTGGTTAATGATATGTCCCAGGTATGAAATGGATTTTTCTCCAAAGTGACACTTACTTCTCTTTGCATACAGTTGGTTGGATCTCAGCCTATTTAGGACTTCCTTAAGGTCTAGGATATGTTGAGCCCAACTGGTGCTATAGACTAGTATATCATATAAAAAACCCAGAACTGTTTTCCTCAATAAATCCCTGAATATCTGATTCATCAAAGACTGAAATGTAGCTGGAGCATTACACAGTCCAAAGGGCATAACCAAGAACTCATAATGACCATTATGGGTTCTAAAGGCTGTCAGGTACCTATCCTTTGGGGCCATTAAAATTTGAAAGTAACCTGAACGTAAATCAATCTTTGAGTAAAATTTGGCCCCCTTTAATTCGTCTAAGAGCTCATCAATAACTGGTATAGGGTAGTCATGCTTAATAGTGAGGCTATTTAGGTACCTGTAGTCGACACACATCCTCCAACTTCCATCTTTTTTCTTAACCAGTAAAACCGGAGAAGAAAAAGGGTTTTTGCTGGGTTGAACTTCTACATTCTTCAGTAATTCTGCAACTATCCTTTCCACTTCAGCTTTCTGGCTGTGTGACACTCGGTAAGGATATTGTTGTTTGAGTATACTCCCAGATTTGAGCACTATTTGATGCTCAATATCCCTCTGAGGAGGTAATGACTTGGGCTCTTCAAAAATATCTTTATAGTCCTCCAGGAGTTCATCTAATGCCCCCGGGGTGTCAGAGTTAATTTCCTTGCCCTTGATCCAAAAAACTTCTTCAATTGGACTAGATTTCTCCTCAAATAGCATGCTGTAAAGGGCGTGGCAGGTTATGATGGGGCACTTCTCCTCACATTGTATCTCAGTCCTCTTCCCTTCATGAGTAACAGTCACACTCATCTTTATATAATCAAACTGAACTGGCGTCAGTTCCTTCAACCAATCTCCCCCTAGAATTAGATCAAATTCTGAGGAATCAAGTATTCTGAAGGAATAGTTGAAGGTATTCTTCTGCATGTTCCATTTGAATTGTCTGACTTGAGTATTGCTAACTAGTTTATGTCCTCCTGCAGCTGTAATCTTCAAGGGAGTGGCTTCCATAACCTCACACCCCAACTTTTGGGCAGCAGACTTACTCATGAAGCTCAGGGATGCCCCAGAGTCAATAAGTATTTTTAAACTCTGTTTTCCAGATTTCCCATTTAAAGTCATGATTGTAGGCCCCTTTTTGCAAGTTGTTGTATCTATAGTTAGCAGTACTTCCTCCATGATTTCATTATGACTACCCTCTGTGGTCTGTCCACCTTGATTTTCTTCTTCAAGATCATCTTCTGTTATTAATAAAAACACTTGTCGCTGTTTACACCTATGCCCAGGTGTGAATTTTTCATCACAATTAAAACATAACCCCTTCTCTCTTTTTGATGCCATCTCAGTTTGGGTGAGGAGCTTAAAAGATGGTTGGGGTGTGGTAGAATTGATTTTTGGTGAGGTGTGGTTAGGGTAAAAGCTGTCCGGTTTCTTGGCACTAGGGCTGGCCCCATATGAAGGCCTTCCTCCCAATTTTATTTTTTTAGACAGGGAATCTATGGTTTGCGGTTGGTTTTTGACCAGTTCTATTGTTGAATCCAGGGTGGTTAGATTAAACATTTTTACAAAAGCCTTTAACTCCTCACTGAGGCCACTAACAAAACTGGATACAAAATATTGTTCGGTTAAGACCCCTTTATGTATCATTTGCATACATGATTTCAGCTCTTCAAATTTCTCCACATACAATTCATAATCTGACCCCATCTTAAGTTTGTTAAACTCCTCTATTACAGATGATGTCCTGATCTCATCAAATCTGGCAGATACAACACCCAGGAACTGATCCTAGTCGAGTACAGAGAGATCCTTATCCAAATGTTGATACCAGGTAAGGGCCTTGCCCTCAAAATGCATAATAGCCAGCGTGATCCTTTGATCCATGGGAATGTGTGACATGAGTTTAAAATAACCTTGGCACTTAACACTCCATGATCGAGGTTTAGTATCATCAAATCTGGGAAAATCAATCTTAGGAAATGGAGTGTTCGGAGAGTAATTACCATTAGATTCAATGTCCTTATGCTTCTGGCGAAGTCGCCCTATGTGCAGGTGATGCAGGTCGTGAGGCGGTTCCCCCAGAATAGATGCTCATACTGGTTCTGTTGCCTGATCACGATCAACATGTACAGATCTCAGTTCCATAGCGTCCATTTTTTTCTGCATTTTCTCTAGTTGATTAAGAATCTCAGTTTGAATTTCCTGATTTCGTAACTGGATCTCTTCATTTTTCTGTTCAGCTGCTTCTCGCTTCAAGGTTTCAGTCAGGAGAGTCTGTTCCAACCGCTTCTGGCCGTCCAAACAGTCCTTGAGCCGAGTCCCCTCTGTCATCTTCCTGGACCGTGATGCTCTGATACCAAATGTAATGAATCTGCTAGGAAGAAAAAGGATAGAAGTAGAGAATAGAAGGATTGAGGGAAGTGAAGAAGAAATTTATAGGGAAATAGTTGTTATCATTCTTCTTGCCCTTGTCTCATACATTTTTTGTTTATATAGAACCGAACATTACTTGTAAAATAAAACATCAATGGATAATTATCAATACAATTAAAATAGGCCCGTCCCATATGAGTACTAAGGCCTGTTATTTGACTGATCCGGTCCAACTTTAGGTCAACACCTAATCCCCTGTCGGTGAGTAAAGGTGTGGCTGCTCTTCATCTGCCTCTTGGCTGGCCGGAAATGTTCCCACTCCTCCTTCCCTGGGCTGGTACATGACAGGTTGTTGTTGAAAAATCGATATTTACCCACAGACAGTTGTATGTTGCAGTATCAAGGATTACCAATTGATGTGGTTTGGAAATTCTAATTGTTGATGAAGATTGAGGAACCACTGACAAGACTCAGAATGTTGTATTCAAAGAAGTGTTCAACAATGTTTAGGTTTACATTAAATGCATATTTACAATGTTATGGTTTCAACTTATTTGTTGGATGTTTTTGATCTTTTAAGTAATGTTTAGTACCCTCACTTTGATCATAATATTATAAGTGTGTTTCGTTTAATGTTTTAATGTATATCAGTATTACATGAAGATAGATGCAATCATGAATTGATAGTGTGATTTGAATTACTAAGCACACATAAATTTGAAAAAAAAATCTCAAACCGTGCATCGCACGGGTGAGTTTACTAGTGGGGAAAAAGAAGAAGGGGCAATCTGACTCACCGGAAGACGGAGCAGACTCCAAGGGAGGGGGGGAGAAAAAAACAAGCGGGTGGGGTGGGGGACAGAGAAAAAGGATAAAGAAAAGAAAACAAAATAAAAAGAAAAGTAAAAAAATAGGAAGTCCATTGGTTCAATATGAGAAGATATACCTTATAATTTAGATTATACTAGAATTATCAATTATTGGGATTATATTAATATTAGAAGATTGATAATAGTTGAGATTATTTATGTGCTAATAATAATCTAAGGACATATTAGTCTATAAAATAACTTATTTAATCATTTATTACTCCCTCCGTCCCCCTAGAATTGTCTCATTTTTCATTTTCGGATATCCATCTATATTATTGTCTCATAAGATATATGGTAATATTTGTGAGCATCTAATTCATTCTTACTTTGTTCTCATTTATCAAATGATAATCAAACACATAATTCTACTTTTTTTAAAACCTCACCACACTCTTCTGTCCCAATATAAGGGGACGGTGGTAGTAATATATTAATTAATTATTACATATTTTAATTGTATTTTGAGAATAAAATTCATTATGTTTCAGATTGAGAAGTGATGGAATTTTAGTGAGAATAAAAACCTGCACCTGCATGATGATAAGACAGAACGGCGTAAATGGTCTGAACAATGGTGAGAAAGAGGAGAACAAAGGCGGTCGCTGCAGAGATGAAGGACCATGGGGAGTCAAAGTAGGTGGTCTTGAAGGTCGCCCAATGCAAGTGCCAGCGGTGCCACGTGGTGGTGTATTTCCTGTAATACTTGCCTACATCATCAAACTGTTGCGACATGTAAGTAGGTCCATGGACACCGCGCATCACATTCTTCCCTATCTTATTCACAAAGGTCGCCACCTCAGCTTCCTTCCCGAAATAATTGTCGAACACGTTGGAGGCACACAAATATTCCACGTCCTTGTACGAGTCTATGAGGCAGTCCAAAAATGCAACGTATGTTGTCATATACCTGTTGAAAATAAATTTAATTAGTCCATTTAAAATTATTACGGAGTACTCCCTCTGCCCCTAAAAGAAGTTCCATTTCGCTTATCGAGGATCAACTTAAATCAATCTTAAACTCTTACTTTTTATATCCAAAATTTTATAAAAGTTGAATTATTTTTTGCAGGCTTTGTAGCGGGTTTAATGTAGTTTTTGAATATGTAAATTTTATTTACTAAAAATAATCCGAGTTTTCACAGGGATCATTTAACTTTATCATCAGTCAACCTTCGTAATCCGCAATTGGAACAACATTTAGGGACGGAGGGAGTATATATTTTGTTATGTCTTAGCATCCATGCATTAATCTCAAAAGATTTTGTGATCGACTAACATGATTCGATCCATTATATCAGTGTCAAAAAAAGAAAAAAGATAATAAGAAAAAATGTAAGATAAAATGGATAAGATAAAGTTAAATACGGAGTATAAGATAATAATAATAATAATATTAAGAACAAAAGTAAGATAAGTGGAGTTTTTTCCTAGAATAATGTTAAATTAAAAAATATTTACCAAAATAGGATGTGATTAGAAATATTTCCCAAAGTAATGCTCAATTAACTCTAGTTAAAAAACAGTCAATCTTGTTGGCCGTTTAGGCAAAACCAAGTACGTAGCAACACCCTGCACACCCTAGTTAGTTAAATACGGTACGGGAATTAAACGAGGTTTAATACGTACGCATTTTATTCGGTAACATGAATTAAAAAAACAGTCAAAAATTCGTTGAAAAAAACGTTGACTTTTATAAAACGTGTAAATACGTATACATGTATAATACGTTATCGGTTGCAAAAATGCGGACAAAAAATACGGGGTAATATTTTGAACATATAAATTATATACTTCACACAAAATAACATATATAGTAAAAAGAATTAAAAGTATACACATAAACACATACAAAGTATTTTAGTAGCAAATCTCATTACTACATAAAAAATAATTCGTAATTCTATCGGAGAGCCTCCAAGGAGGCGGCGATAAACCACAACTGATGTAATTAAGTCCAAGACATACTTTTGCAAAATAATGTCAAAATAATAAGACAAAATAACAATAGAATGAGACTAAATCAAAATCATTATCTTTCTGTTATCATCAATAACACTTAAGGTAAAGTCATCATTTTCATCAAGATGACGGATGACATATGAGAAAAGTTGTGCGATTGCTACGCTTATTGTTTATGTGCAAAAGTTTATACTAAAAAATGTCAGGTCTAGAAAAAACTTAACTTTGATATGCTTCTTTGAAAAAACATCGTAAATCTAGTAGTATTTTAAGTTTTCGTCCTTTAGGATCTAGTTTTAGCCATCATGCAATTAACTTTAATATTTAATAAATGAATAGTAACAATACAAAATACAAGATCATGAGGAGGACGTTTTTATTTTTACTTTTAAACTATTGTTGATCTCTTATGCATTTAATGCATTGGTTCAATTGTTCAATTCATGTTTCTGGTTTTGTAAAATACGGGAAAAATACGTTTTATACGGGAAGTAGGAGTTTTTTTCCTTTTTAAACGGGTCGACATTATTTTTCGTTTTGAACGTGTTTTTTTAGCAAAAAAAAACGGTACGTGTTTAAAACACGTTTTTGAGGGATTGAGCATGTTAATTATGGATCAGGAAAAAGGGGTGTTCTACATGGTATCCGGGTGGCAAGAAATGCACCACTAACTTCATACTTACTATTTACAGATGATAGCTTTGTATTTTTTAAAGCTCAGGAGCAGGAATGTTATGCAATAAAGGAGATTCTAGGAGAGTATACGGCCATGTTCGGCCAACTAGTTAATTTTGATAAATCAAGTGTGTGTTTCATCGCAAATGATGCATGGGACGACCGTGATTATCTGGGTAGAATTCTTGGGGTACAAGAAGATTGGGGGAAAGGAAAATACATGGGCTACCATCCATGGTTGGAAGGAATAAAAAGGAAGTTGTTGGATACTTGGATACATAAAAGAAAGAATTATTCAGCACATTAAGAGCTGGAATAGCCGAGTTTTATCTCATGCGGGTAGAAAAGTGCTATTAAAATCTATTGTGCAGGAAATTCCACCATACGCTATGAATGTTTTTCTTTTACCTGCTGATTTATGTAAGGAGATTGAGACTGCTATGAATGGCTACTGGTGGCAGGGCCAAGTGCACAAAAGGAAAGGAGTTCAGTGGAAATGTTGGAACCATTTGTGTGTGCCAAAACATATGGGTGGTATGGGGTATCGCAAACTGCGTGAGTTTAATATTGCTATGTTGGGCAAGCAGGTGTGGAGGATCATCAAGCAACCAACTTCTTTGGTAAGCTCGGTATTTTCCGAATTGTGAAGTGCTTGAGGCTAGCGTGGTGAATAATTCATCCTTGATCTGGAGGAGTGTCGCGAAAGCTATTCCAACAGTAAAGAAAGGTGTCAGATACCGTATTGGCAGGGGAGATATGGTACGAGTGTGGAGTGACCCTTGGGTGTCGGGCTCACACACGGGGAGACCAACCTCAAATGTATCGGTTGGACTTGCAGACATTAAGGTTAACTCTCTCACGACTATGGATGACTTGAACTGGGATTTTGATATTTTGGCAAATATTTTCAATGAGAGGGATCAAAAGGCTATAAGCAGCATTCCTTTAAGCAGTAAGCCTCGACCGGATGAGGTGATGTGGAAGGAAGAGAGTAAGGGCCTATGTACAGTGTGCAACTGATATAGGATGCTTATACAGCGGAGTATAGCGGCTCTGACATGGGCCCAGGTTTGGCGGCTTAATATTCCACCAAAGGTCAAAGTTTTTTTGGCGGGCTTGTACGGGTAGTTTACCAACAAAGGAGAGATTGTTACAAAAACATGTTCCGTTTAGCCCATCATGTCAGACTTGTGGTGATAATCGAGAGACAATGATGCATGTTTTTCAAGATTGCCCATTAGCTAGTGCGGTTTGGAGAAATAAACGTGTTGGGAATCAAGATATGGAGAGTTTTGCCGACTGGACGATGGCGATATTGAGCACAAGATCAAAGGATTTTTTGTGAATTTGCTATGCTACATTGGAGTCTTTGGAAAGCTAGCTAGGAATGATAGGATCTGACATAAACACATTCCGACTTGGCAAGGAGTCATAGCAATGGCAGAAGCGGTAACACAGAGCTTCGAACAAACGCATAGTAATGAGCCGTAGAAGGAAAAAGGGAAGATAACGGGAGGTGGAAGATGTCGGACCCAAGATGGGTTAAAATTAATGTTGATGGTGCAGTTGATCCGTAGGGTGATGTACGTGGGATTGGGATGGTAGCTCAGAATGCGAGTGGCACGTTTCTGGCAGGGGGAAGACGAAGGTATCGAGGAACTTTTTCCCCAGGAGCTACAGAGTTGATCGTAATACGGGAAGCTGTTATTTGGGCAAAGGAAAATGGATGGCAAAATTTAATTATAGAATCTGATGCTCAACTAGCAGTGAAGAGTATACAAGCTGCAGAAGGATGCTTATATGACTCTACTCTTTAAGATGATATTAGACATATGTTGGCGTTTAGCACAAATATTTTTGTCCAGTTTGTGTGACGATCAGTGAATAGAGTTGCTCATACCATAGCTAGACAAGTAATTCGTGAGGCTGATTGTCTTTGGGTTGAGACCCTCCGGTTTGTATTTGTGATCTCCTTTTGAGGGATATTTATAAATGAAATGTTTTATTTCAAAAAAAAAAGGAAACTTAACTAACATAAATTAATTATGTGAATAATCAAGTTGACCAACCACCTAAAAAGAGATCCAGTGAGCGCTAACTTTCTCAGAGTGGGTGATCTAAGAGGTTGTCCAGTAATTGAAGTTTCAAAAGAACTAAGTTGAACAAACATTGCCAACAGTGAAAAATAAAAATTCACCACTAAATCGGTTACACCGAAGAGAAACACACAAATTGTAATCACTGTTAGGAGAAGAACATATCTCATGCTCAGGGGACAAAACTCTCGACCGAAGAAGTCAGACCAAAGCCAGAACCCTAGAAGATCGAAATAAAAAGAGAACAATAGTATATAGAAAAACTTTTTATTAGTTAGTGACCAATTGAAAAGGAGAATATTGAGAGATCAAGTCGTCTGACGGTCCAAGAACTCGTCACCTAGAATGTTTTTAGGCATTCTTAAAATGATCAAATGAGTCACATTAGTACACTTACAATTTAAAAAAGGTAGATTCTATGGTACCCATAAGGTACCGTACCTTTGTCCACATGGACCAATTAGAATCATGCAGTTGAATTATTTAAATCTAAAGTAAAAGAGATTTAATGATTTGGACCAATCAAATGCATTGTAGGTACGGTACCCCATTTTTTAAATGGATACCGGAGTTGTCACCTTTAAAAAATGATCAAATGAGTCAAGTGACCGAATGAAAACATTCTATAGTGGTAGGTCATTGGTTGATTTGCATATGTTTTCTTATACTAGTATTTGTGTTTTGTGTTTCTTTTAGTAATAATCAAATAAAAATGTCGAAAATAAAAGGGAAAATGGAAACTAATAATCCAACCTCGGTCTTCTTACAACAGTCTCACATTTTCGTTATTCAAGAATAATCCAACCTTGGCACCCCATCTTCATTCGCGGGTCCCTGACCGATTAATGACCTGCTATTTCAAGTTATTTTCCCCTCCCTCTCCTTATCTTTGCAAAATATAATCTTTGTAAAAGGTGAGATTTATGGTATAATGTTTTGCAAAGATAAGAAAATAACTTGGAGTAGCAGGTCATCAACCGGTCATGGACCAGTGAATGAAGATGAGATGCAAAGGTGGGATTATTCATGAAAAACGAAAAGTTGGACCATTATAAGAACACCGCTAAAAAGTTGAATTATTAGTTTCTATTTTCGCAAAATAAAAACACATTTGTATTTGTAGATTTATTTGAATTTGAATAATTCGAATCACAAAACAAAAATCCAATTACTATTAAAGATTATAATGATATTTTTATTAGGAATATTTTAAATTCTATATCAGACTTTTATGAGCCCACGGTAATTCAGATCAGACCTACACGGAAATTTCAATCCGTACCTGGATTCCACCGATTGGCATTGCTCGTACGCCACGCAATTCCGCAAGAAGGCGCACATTAAGTAGTCCAGTTTGATGGGAGGCATCTGGATCACTCCCCGGTGGAATCTGATGTTTAAGAAACTGTCTGTTGTGCTGCCGCACTTGACCTTGATTCCGGCTCCACGAAGCTTGGAAATGCAGTGGATTACGCGTCTCCCAGCAGATTTCAGTTTGCGGGCAGGGGGGTCTTCTTTTCCGCGGCACATCAGCTGCTCGATTCCGGCTCTATACAGCTTCGAGACGTAATCGATTATTACGCGGCACCCAGATCCCGGCCTTCTCAGGTAGAGGTCACCCTGCGGCAAATAGCATTTCCAGAGCATACCCAGTAAATGTCGCCCGCACACTAAGTGTATGTGCTCACACCAAATACCTTCGGGTAATTCAAATGACGATTCTTCGAAGAAGAAGAGGGCCTTGGTGAGTAACGATTCGCTGTTTTGTTCCTTTGGTACAGGATCATCGCTGCCAGCTTCGTCGTCGCGCACTGAAATAATAAGGGAGTACAAGGCTCGGAGCACCTCCAAGGGAATTTGGTTTTCAAGGCTGATCAAGTCCTCAACAAGCCTGTTGAATAACCCTGGCATGAGGAATGGATCGTCCTCCTCCAAGGGAACCTCCCCTGCAATTTTCCGAAAAATTTCCAGGACAAAGCAACCATCAATGACTAACATTGCTACAAACCTGTCGCTGTTGAAAGGGATATCCTCGGAATAGCATCCTCTAACGAAACTTTCATACTCTTTGACAATGTTAAAGAAGTCCTGCAAAACCAGACCGTTGGTCCGCGCTACCAAACTCTCCAAAACGCGCTCCTTGTGCCGCTGCATCATCTGCAGATGCGGCTTCCCGTGGTGGTATGGACCGATTGAGACTATGTTAGGTTCATAAGCCCGGATGTTGTCGTCCACGAAGCTCGGGGGTATCCGGAAAATGCAGAATTTGGACTCTCTCATAGGGGATCTACGGCGGCTTCTGTCCACGGCTTCCATGCTTATGCCCACGGCTTCATTTCCATCCTGGTTTTCTCCGGAGTAACTGCACCCAGCCATCTTTGTGATTTCAGATCCCGAACTGAATATTCAACGTTAATTGAAGAAGGTACAATTAGTTGGTGGCCTGTATGTGAAACCATCCTCCTGCTATATACCCTTTACTTCAATAATTTAGTACGATTGATTGATGTTGAGAAGCAGCACTACGTAGAAATTATTACTCCCGTACATTACTCTGCAATTTTTGTTCCCGTAGTCATCAATCGAATCATTTACCTCCGCAACCCCAATTATTTCATCATGTTTTGCATGTCTATACTCCCTCCATAAGATTCATATTTTCCCACTTTCCTTTTTTGAATGTAACATTCATATCTTCCCATTTCAAAATCTTCTCATCATACCCCCAATAATTTTAAAAATAATACTCCGTACACTATTACACCTTTTGGATTTATCCTTCATTCCATCACATTATTTCACTATCTTCCTATCAATAATTAATACCCCTTTCACTATTCTTAATCTACCTACTTTTCAAATGGGAACATATATATGTTACGGAGGGAGTATTATTTTGTTTGGCATATCTGTCCGGGCCCCCGGGGCCTGGCTCACCTAGAAGAGGATCACACAGGAAAATGTATGGGTTTCAAGTTCAAGTAATGATTTGAAATGAAGTTTGATTCTCTTTTTCATTAAAGTATGATCAGAGCTCAACTTATATCTTCTTGCATAATTGTGCGGTTGATTCTGGGGCCTCAGAAATAAAGTGCCATCCTTTTTTCTTTTGGCATATCTGGTTTCTTTTGGCATATCTGGTCTTCACATTTCATATCTTTTTTTATCCGTCTAACTAAAATTTTCAGTATATTAAATTTGGTAAAATTTATGTGGGTTTAAATTATTTTTACTTTATTCTTACATTATTAATTACAAAAAAAACGGCAACGCATCCTCATGTTCCACATCTAGTGGGATATAGTAGATGTAGTGAATACTACTATAATTAGTTGGGCCGAAGGGGTTACATTATATGTAGTAGGTAATTACTTGTATATAGATTAACCGATATCGGGGGAATGAAAGCTAAGGGGAATATTTTATCCTGATTACTATTTTTTTTTTGGACTATTTTCAATCCCAAACCAGACCAGAATTAAACAGATCAGACCAGACCAGACCAATTCAGACCAGACCAGTCCAGCAAATTTCAATCCAAAAGAAAACATTTTTACTACTCGTATTACCAAATTGAACAAAAGCATAAATGAGAATAAGAAAAAAGAAAAAGAAAAAGAAAAAAAATACTCATAAAAAAGAAGTGTATCAAACAAAAGGATATTGAAGGAGTAAGGAAGGGCCTAATTAGGAGTAAAGATAATGTAAATAAGATAGCTACAGTATATTTTTATTCTCTAAGATACTCCGTACCTATAGTCAACTTCGATGAGCTAGCTTCCCGGGTTCACAACTTCACAAGTGGGGCGGTAGTGCGGTAGATGAAATTCCTGATTTGGTGCATTAGGTTTCACATTTATGTTTCACAAAAATGTCTTCCATTAATAATTTTGTTGACCTTTAACATATTCCTAATCGAGGGCATTTTTGTCTTTTCATACGGTGTTATGGTGCAAAAACAAAGATTTTTAAAAATGGAATGCAAAGTCCAATTTGGACAATAAACTAGGGTGCAAACTCAAATTACTCCAATAAATAAATAGGTGACTAAAGAGATTGTAAATAAATTCGGGGTCGGTATTATCTATTTTTTGACCTATAAGCGATATGTACTATCGTGGGCTTATTTCAAAGAGAGACATTTAAATTAGGACTTATTTACAAAAATGTGACCACTTTTAAATTTGGACAAAAATGTGATTAAAAGGTCATATTCATGTCATAATCAGATTTTAATGTCACTATCAAATGTCACTGGCACCACCTTCGGTATCACTGTAGCCACCACCCATGTCACTGCGGCCACCACCCTTGTCACTGCGGCCACCACCCGTGTCACTGCGGCCACCGCCCGTGTCACTGCGGCCACCGCCCGTGTCACTGCGGCCACCGCCCGTGTCACTGCGGCCACCGCCCGTGTCACTGCGGCCACCGCCCGTGTCACTGTGGCCACCGCCCGTGTCACTGCGGCCACCACAGTGACACCGGCCAAAGTGACACCGATACAGCCGGTCAGTGACATAAGTTATAGCTTTCACCCAAATCTGCCCGCCACCAGCACCGCCACCAGCACTGCCACCCCACCACCACCTCGCCGCCATTGTACACAGCCCTGCCTCTCCCTAGCCCAAACACCCCAACCCCACACCCCTCCCTTGTCCACAATCCAGCTCCGACCAACCCCGTCTAGCCCAGATCGGACCCCAACCGCGCAGATCTAGCGCTGACCAGCCCCGATCTAGCCCAGACCGGACCCCAACTGTCCAGATCTAGCCCCGACCAGCTCCGATCTAGCCTAGAACAGACCTCAACATCCCCGATCTAGCTCCGTCCCTAGCTCCGTCCCTAGCCCAGACCGGACCCTCAATATTACGATCTATTTTAAGTGCGAGAAAACATACATCAGTTTTTGGCGCCGTTGCCGGGGACGGTGTCAGTTTTAAGAGTTAATTAATTTCAGCGAGATTTTTTTTAGTTAGTTTTCTTTTTGTTCTTCGTAGGATTTTCTGTGCTAACCTTTCAGGTTTTTTTCAAAGAGGCATGAGATGAACCCATTCAGCCAAATTCCTGGAGGAAGTCCTTTTCCCCAAACCTCCATGGAATTTTCACCATATACGCCATACCCTCCTTACACTCCTCCTCCTCAATATTACACACCTCATCAAAATTACTCTCCTACACCACAAAATATTCAGCCTTCTTATCCGTACACTCCAACCACACAACCCTTTCATTATGATTCTTACGATCCTTCATCACATTACCCTTGGGTAAGCGTAAGACGAGGCTCCATTCTTGAATTTATGCTTCTAAATAAAACGGTTGAGGAAATATCTGAATGTTTTAAGGATAGCATTTGTTCCTTCTGTGGAGGAGATCACCATTTATGTCTTTGCCCCATCAAACCTCTATATGACCCTCCTTTCCAGGAAACTGCATACCCCACTTCTTCCTCCACACAATTTACGGACACAAATGTTTCAGCCACTCCTACATACTTCCCGAGTAATGAGCCTCATAATCAACAAGAGGATCTAGAGGGGGCAGATTTAAAGAGGCTTTCTTACTTGGAAAAGGGAATCATGCAACTCACAGCCAGAATGCAGAATTTCAGTAATCACTTGGATCAACTGTTTAACGCCCTATCTGAGGAGTCCGAGAGATCCCATCCTAGCGACACAGAAGCCCAACGTGAGGAGACCAATAGGGATGATCATGTGAGTGAATCGGACTGCGAAGGTGGGAATATGATGGATGATACACTTCCTGATGCTTTTGAAGACCCTCCTATGTTTGGAGATGAAGAAGAAGATAATAGTGTCAAGTTGTTTTTTGAAGAATACAGGAAAAAGTTTGAAACGGTACAAGCTGTAACTGATGAAGTCACAAATCACTGTGATTTTCATACAGAAACCCCCAAGCCGTTTGATTTGCCATTAGTCTTAACACCTGAGGAGGGCAAGGAGCATATTAGTCATGACGTTGATGCAGCCGCTGAAGTAAGATTGGGTATTGAAGATGAGTTGAGAGATGATAATCACGAGCTCCAAGAGAGTGGTAGTAAGGTAGATGATCTCCATGACAAAAAAGTGTCGCTCCACAATTTCTTGGAGGATATTAATGAGAAGAGTGAGAAAACAAATTGGGATGCATTCTTGGAGAGTGATAGCGAGTCAAGAGGAGGTGCTCAGAATTTTCATGGTACATTCGAGCGAGGAAAGGAGGCGTTTGTGATACATTTTGAACATGAGGATGAGAGGTTCATACTTCACTTCTGTGCTGATAAGGGTTATGAAGACCATGCGCTTCCTACGTGTTTTCAAGAATTTAAGAATCTGCGCCATCTAATGGAATTTGTTGAGAGCAAGCTGGAGATGTTGACTATTAGTGCACCACTGATGTCTTTGCTATTTGAGAGCATATGAGGAAGTTGTGTCGGGAAAACGACGTTAAAAATAGCGCTTCTTGGGAGGCAACCCAAGCTTATTTCTGCATTTCTTTTTGTTTGTTTGTTTGTTTGTTTGTTTGTTTGTTTGCTTGCTTTCAGAAAACCCCCGAAAAAAAAACCAAAAAAAAAAAAAATCCGGGGCGTTTTTTGGGTTTGTTTTTGTGTTTGTGTGTTTTGTTTTTGCAGCTCAGGGTCTTGCTTTGGGGATGATGTGCCGAGGATCACTTGACTCAGTTTAGTTCTGCACCGACCAGCGCTTTAGGGAAGTTTCTGTGACTCTAATAATCGCCTGTTTGTAATAATTGACTTGAGTTAAGTTGAGCACGTGTGACCCTATCCTCTTTACCCCCTTGTGCATAGTGCATTTTTTGTCATCGAGGACGATGCCAAAGTTTAAGTGTGGGGGAGTGAATTGGGCATTCGGGCAGTAGTTGCTACATGTGATTTTAGAGTTAGCATACACAGGTGTTAGTTGATATTCATAGGAAATTCATGTCAAATTTTTGAAAATTTTTCTTTAAACTGTGTCTTTGTGAACTGGCTAGTGTTTTGACTATGCTTTTAGAATGTCCTTGAAGTGTTTAGGCTTAAATTGCTTGCATGATAACTTGGTTTTTGAAAGGATGAAGGCATTAGTCACCCATTGAATAAATCAACAATATTTCCATTTACCTGAATAAGACCCTTTAGGAGAAGCCATTTTGAGCCTGACCGTTCTTTGTTACCCGAATTAATTGAGCTCCATAGCCAAATGGCCTCTGTTCCTTACCCGTGAATATTTCTGACTTAGTCTTGATGTTTAGGGAACTAGGGGATTAATTTGCTAAGTTTAGGGAATTTGTGTAGGAGCCATTTTTGGCACTGTTCCTATGCTCCAAATGGAGTAAGAGTAGTCACTTTTTAGGAATTTGATACTTTCGAGGATTGCATTGTAGACATGGATTCACTTTGAAATAAATGAACTTTAAATTGCTATTTTTCCTTTGTGAGGCTGAGATTAGAATGGGGTAATGTCTAGTGAGAATCCGAAAGGTGAAAATTAATTAATGGCTAGACCTCTTGCCTTGCGAAAAAGAGAATGGGAGCCCCGGTCAAAAAGCGTAAGATGAGACTTGGGTATCTTTCGAAAGAAATGGTCTTCTCGTGCCAACATGACAAGGAAAACTAAACATAATTAAATGAACTTGGAGGTTATTGCGAAATTAGCTTTAGTCCTTCGTGTACTTCAAGTATACGTCAAAGCACAAATGTGCCGCGGCGGTTTAGCTTAGTTGTACACCATGTCTACTCTTTGCGTAGGTTTAAATGATTGTTCTTAATTTGTGGCCTACTAAGTTCCTTGTTCCTAAGAATAGCCCTGAAATTCCTGAATGCATTGAGTCTTTGATAGAATATTTAAATCTCTCAAAAAAGGTACTCATATTGTTTAACCATTAACCATTCAACACCACCTTCACAAGTCCTTCTGATCAATAGCTAGCTTATTTGTGCACGCTGCCACTACTTTGAGGATGTTGTGAATAAATTTGTCAAATATTTTAGCCAGAGTACAAAGATGTAGTTTAGGGAAGAATTTTCTTGGTTTAGACTGTATGTTATGTGAATATCCCTTTAACTACTTGTGCATGCTAATTGTTTTACTTCCGTGTGGTGATTATCGTAAGTCCCGTTGTTCAATTTGCTTGAGGACAAGCAAAGGCTTAAGTGTGGAGGAATCTGATAAGTCCATATTTAGACATGCATTTGATGCGTGTTCGGATCGGATTTTGATGGTTTTCCTAGCTTTAAGGTGTTACAATTCTCAATTTTAGCTCAAGTTATGTTTAACAGGCGTTGGTTCGAGTTTTGTGTCATTTGGAGTCAAAATAAGGATTTTAGAGTTCGGCACTGGCGCTTGAGGAGAAATCGGGATGAGTTGAAAAGCATTTGAGATTGATTTGATAGCTTTGGAGGTCACCGGAAGATTCACGATGAAGATTTGAAGGAAAAAGAGCTCTAGGATTGGCTACGGGGTCAAAAGAAGATGAATGAAGATTGAAAACAACGATCAGGATGACCTTCTGTCAATCGTTCAAGCATATATCTTTGTAGAAACAACCAATGGACACGATTCAAGTTCCATATGAAATCTAACTTCAAGGGCTACAAATCATATGAAGACACCTTTGCGTGAATCTGAGAGGAAGAAGGTGAAAACAGACGACGAATTCAGATGATCTCTGCTGCGATTTCAGAATGACACCTTCCACCGTTTTGATCATATCTCTTGATTGGATGATTAAAATCACATTCGGCAAGTTGGGGTGGATAGAGGGCTTCATTATCTACAACTTTCATGAAGGAAGTTTTGTCAAATTCGGAAGTTTGACGCACGCCGTGCGTAGGGGAACGCACGACCGTGCGTCTGAGGCGAGAAAGCAAAGAACCTACTGCCAGCAACGCACGGCCGTGCGTTGGGGGACGCACGCCGTGCGTTCCATATTTTTACGCGGCTTTGCTCTGGACGCACTGGGGAACGCACGCCGTGCGTTGTCCCCGTGCGTTGGCCCTGGAATCCTAATTTCGCCCGAATTGATCCGTTTTCCCTATTTAAACAGGCTATAAACCCCGTTTTCGAGGGGGGAACTTAGAGAGAGTGCCTAACACGAATTTTAGAGGACTTTTCAGCCTTGTTCATCAATCTTTTGGGATTCTTTGTAAGTTCCACCATTTTAATTAATGACAATTAATTCTATTCTTCCCAATTCTATTGATTCTTCAATTATGAATTGTGAGTAGTTTAATTAGGGATTGGGATTGATGAAGGGGATGATCATGATGTATGGCTAGATTCTTGTTGGTTTAATTGCATGAACGTCGTTTAATTTGTGTTTGAATAATTTAATTGATATCTTTTGTAACCTAGAATGCGCGCTAGAATTACAATTGCTTGTAGAATAAATTAAGAGAGATCTAGTTTATTCTAGGACACCTTCACACACACTTAATCGTTCGCTAAGAGATTAGTAGCGATTAAGGGGCCGTAAGCTCGCTCGTCTTGGCAATAATTTAGGATCTTGTCGCATGAGAGATCAGCCTGGTCCCCTAAATTATTGTACTCTACGCCGCGAGAGCGGTAAGAACTTAGTAATGATTAGCTAGGCTCAATTGAATTAATTTCATGTAATTAGGCCTGATCTGCCAGAAATCTGGTTACCCCGGAATCAATCCTTGTTCCCTTCGTCATTAATTAGAAAGAACCTCCTAGTTTAATTGTTCGCATTAGTTTTATTTTCCAAACCAACCAATCTCGCATGACGCTTTTATTTTATTTTCTTTTTAATCGCTGAATTTAATTAATTCTTGATTCGCTTTTGTCCGTCCCTGTGGAGACGATACTCGTACTTACACCACTATATTACGATCTATTTTAAGTGCGAGAAAACACACATCAGTTAGCTAATTGTGATAGTGGTAAACATGAAAAGAAGATAAATTGACCATAAGAGCCCTGAACGAAAATATTAAGTAAATAAATATAAAATAAGATCTAAGGGTTATCATTTATTCTCATTTCTCTCCTAAGGTGCGTGATTTTCACATATGAACTTAAATTTCTCTCTCTCTCTCTCTCTCTCTCTCTCTCTCTCTCTCTCTCTCTCTCTCTCTATATATATATATATATATATATATATATATATATATATATATATATATATATATATATATATATATATATATATATATATATATATATATACAGGGTAAGGTTCAAGTGAGAAGAACCATTTGGGTGAGAAATGAGAATGAATCTCAGCCATTGGAGTCGACTAAGTTGCAGTAAAAGACACTTAATGATGCACTGAAATATGCAATCTAGCACGGTGGCATTTCTGTAAATACTTCTGAAAAATCCGTATTACACGTGTCTAGTGCAACATGAAGCTATTTCGGTGCAATGCCGTCAAATATTAGTGCAACATGAAAAAGTTTTAGTGCAACATGTGCAAAATTTAAATATTACTGCAACATAAAGCCAATTTTAGTGCAACTTCGTAAATCCAATGGCTGAGATTCATTCTCATTTCTCACATTAGATGCATTTCTCACCTGAACCAAAATCTATATATATATAGGGAGCGGTTCTGTTAAGAACAGATCTTAGGAGAAAAATGAGAACGAATCTGGACCGTTGGATTGTATTATGTGGAACCAAATTGTGCATTTGGTGAAACTAAAATGTGCATTAAATGATATTGAAATGTACAAAATAAAAATTTAAACTCAAGTGTGCATTAGATGAAACTGATATGTGCGAAAAAAAAGTACTGAAATAACATCACATAGTACTTTTTATTCTGCACATTTCAGCTTCAACTAGTACACATTTCGATTTCACGTAATGCACAATTCAACTGCACATAATGCCACTTTATCGTACCCTTTGTGATGCACATTTCAATTTCACCTAATGCACATTACAGTTTCATCTAATGCACACTGAATTTCACTTGAAGCAAATCTAACGGTCCAGATTCGTTCTCATTTCCCTCATAAGATCGTGTTCTTATTTGAACCAAAACCTATATATATATATATATATATATATATATATATATATATATATATATAGAGAGAGAGAGAGAGAGAGAGAGAGAGAGGAATGTTCAGGTCCGAACATTCCTGGTTCGAACACCGTCCGAACATGGACGTTTGGGGCCCTTCCCTATGGAAGTTTTTGATGCCATTTTTTGAGCATGTTCCTCATCAAGTTTAGTTTGTCCATACCAAATTTCAGCTCAAAATTCGATCGGGAAGGCATTCAAATGATTTTTTGAAGTTGACTGCGTCAAAATATACATATAAAAACGCAGTCAACTTCAAAAAATGATTTGAATGCCTTCCCTATCGAATTTTGAGCTGCAATTTGGTATGGACAAACTAGACTTGATGAGGAACATGCTCAAAACATTTCATCAAAAACTTCCACCGGGAAGGGCCCCAAATGGGGATGTTCGGACGGAGGATCTTGTCCGAACGTTCGGACAGGATCATTTGTGTGTGTGTGTGTGTGTATATATATATATCCCAATTTGTTGTTCCTGTTGCACTTTACGATGCTTGACATAAATTAGGACGGAGCGAGTAGTATTCAAGTTTTGCTATAGAGAATGAAATGTGATGCTAATTATCATATAGGTTATAGGTACTTGGCACTAATGCTTCAAGATAAGCTTTGTAACAATCACTTTGGAATGTATATTCATTCTCTTGAGCATGGAATGTCTTTTGTTTAGTCATTTAAGCAACTTTCTTTTCCAAATCATTTTTACTGCCGAAAAAAGGATAGAGACTTGCAATTGAAACCTAAATTCATAACTTGACATGTGTTGAATTTATTTAGCTTTATCTTAAAAAAATTTAAAAGATTTGAAAAGTTTGGGGAAAAAATCCAGAGAGCACATTAGTGTCAATGTCATTTGGAAACCAATTGAAAACCGATTTCAGTTGGATTCAATTACAAATCAATGGCAGTCCAATTTATCTAGAAAAATAGTGCTAACGTGAAAATGGACAAAGATGGATTTGAGGGACACATGGCAAAACTCTTAGTCTTACCGATTCTATTTCATTCAAATAGACTTTTGAATTGCACATGACAATCACAATCCATATCCTGTAAACTAAAGAAAATGGAATGAAGAGATAAGTGAATAATCTTGAACATAAAAGTTGTGGTATCCTTATAGTACTAAAAACAGAAAAGTGGTGTTTTGAGAAAGCTAAATAAATTCATGGAAATGATAAAGAAGATAATATATAAAATTCAACACATCCTGAAATATATGCAAGGGACAGAAGATATGTAAATTTCAAGAATGCAAAAGCAGATGCGATTTTATACATCCAATACAAAAATCATACAAAAAATGAATGAAATTTCCATGGCTGAAAAAAACTGGAAGAAGAATGACCTGAATTGAAGTAAAAAATAAAAATTGGAAATAAAAATCCAAAATTTGAACCGCCGGGGAACGAGGAGGAGTAACCGCCGGGGGGTTTGATGAAGGCTGCTCCTCGACGATGATAACGGGGGCGTCCTTCATCGAGGCGCCCCCCTTCTTCTTCCTCTTCTCCGGAGGCACCACGCCCTTCCCGGCATTCTTTCTCTTCAGATCAGCCTGGGAGCCTTCGACGTCAACACCAACGCTGGGAGTTTTGGAGGGACCCTCGCCCTCCGGGACCTGAGACGCCCCATCTTTCTTAAAGAATTCATCGACGGGTTTCTGAACCCCCGTCTCCTTCTTCTTCTTCGGCTCCTTGGCCAGCTTCTTCTTTAAAGCAGCAAAGTTGGAGACATCCATGCTAACACCTGCAAAACAACAATAAAGTCAGACCGAAGGGGTCAACTACAAAAGAAGGGAAATAAGGAAATACAAAAATCCTAAGTACAATAAAGCAGACCCTCCGGTAACTACCTCCAGTGCTACCGAAGGCTCTCTCAAGGACAGGGTACTGTTCGTCCCTTTCACCCAGAAAACGGTACCGCCGAAAGCCTAAGGCCAGCAAGTCTTCTGGGAGGGTGGAGTCCTTGACGGTCACATGCTTTGTGGCCCCCGGCGGCAAAGCGGCAATCTTCTTCCCCTCCCTCTGAAGTGCAGCACTTCCCACCTTCGGGTGCCGCCTGAAGTGGTTGCGCAGTTCCCTCGGGAATGGATTTTCTGCCACCTTGATGTAGCAGAAGCGGTCCTTCCATCCCTTGTGGGACGAAGGCACATCGTCGAAAAGCCTCCAGGGGGCGAGCTGCTGCAGGTTTGCGAACCCCTCGGAATTGGTGTGGCCCCCCTGGCACAAGTTGAAGCTTTGAAAAAATAAGTCAAGGGTTGGAGTCACCCCCGGGACCGGCAGAGTTGCAGAAAGCCGGTAATGGCTATTTGGGGTGAGCTGGCAGGGGGCTAAGCCTACGAACCTAAGGTATTCAAGGAGAAATGGGTGCAACGGAAACCGGAGGCCCATGGAAACTGACAGCACATGGACGGCAAAGCATCCTTCGGGAGCCTGGGAGAGGAGATCGTTGGGCCCCGGTTCAATCACGGTGGCCGAAGGGCCCACATGCAGCTGGGTGACATAACACTCGGCCCGATCTGCTCTCGACTTCAGTGCGAGGGCGGCGGTATTCAGCCAGGAATGCCCCTCGGGTATTCCCACGGGTTTCCCACAATCCACTGCGGTCTGTTTGTTCTTCTGAGGAGCCTTTGTCTTCTTCCTCTTCTTACCGGGAGCTACGCTCAGGGGTTCCGGATCTAAGGCCCGGGAGGTACTCGCCTCGCCTGCACCACGAAGGGGCAACACGGCAACCGTGACCTGCTGCCTTTCCTTCTCCTCCTCCTCCACGGCAACCTGGAGGGCCAACGCCATCTCTTCATCCTCCGTGACCTGCTCAAATTCTTCAGCCTCCAGCTCAACCCGAAGGTTGCTTTGTACCTCCTCAGCCACAGCAAGGTCATTATTGGTCGAGGACTGCTGGCTTGTTGACTCCGTGTCGGAGATGCTCTCCGCTACAACCGAAGGTTCCCTAGAGAAATTCTGGGAATCGCTTGCTGATGACATCCTCTGGTATCGAGAGGGTGGAAGTTTAGGAGGAAGAAGGAGACTAGGGATTTCCTAGGGAGGCTCTAACACTTAATCTAAGAGCAGTAGAGCAAAGTATGCTAGAAGAATCGAAGAACGGTGAAGAACTGACCTCGAAACTTGGGGTTTGATCGAACAAGGCTTTCTCTCTCTAGAAAACAAAAGGGCAGAGCTTCGCTTCAGAATGAACGCACAAGAAAAATGAATCCGGCCTTGGGGTATTTATAGACTTCCGGCCTCGAAAGACGGGCCTCGATTTGAAAAGCCCATCATTACGGGCCGCCGCCTTAGCCAATGGATGGCTCCCGCCCACCTTCAGCCAACGCCAGCCAGACACGTCGACCCTTCTTCCAACGGCCATATTGCAACGGCTATATTTCAGAAACACTGGAGCGCCCTCGAATGATAACCTCCGGCTATCACTCACCGCATCCTTCAGCCGACGGACTCCAACAAGCGCCTTCGGTTTGTCAATGTTGCCACTCCCCAATACACATATCGAATGATAGCCCCCGACTATCAACTAGGAAGGGCCTCGAGCAAACAGCGATATAAGCCCTCGGCTTATCAATATTACCATTTATCAGCACATACTTATATGATAGCCTTCGGTTTGTCAATGTTGCGACCTCGAGCATGCAGCAGTGTAAGCCTTCGGCTATTACTGTTTACCGCCCTCGAGGAGTTCATCAACACATCATGACTCCAGCCCGAATTTGCCTTCGGCCTAAAGGAGTGGGGGACTGGGATACACCCCTCGGGAATCACGCAGAACAAAATTTCCTCAGGCAAAATTTGCAATTGACGCATACAGCCTCCGGACAAACATCAAAGTGGAACCCCTCGGGTACAAGCCTCAACGTACCCTTCGGCAGAAGCAAAGTATCAAAACACATACAGGTGATGCACTTCCCTCAGGAAGACAAGTTCTCAAGCAGAGGCACCCAACGAAATGATGAAGCCTCCAGAAGAATCAACACAATTACTCATTTTCCCTCAAGTACCTTTTGGCAAAAGGAGTGAGGGACTCCTGATGGAGTATATGGCCCAGGAACTCCCGGCCCATAGACTCTTACTTCTCCTACACAAGTCCATTGAGCCCAGGGAACATCTCAGGCCCGAATGCAACGGCCCAAGCGTTAAAGAAGCCCAGAATACACACTGGGGTGCCTTCGGCCTCCCTGGCCGAAGGCTCCAAAACTCACAGGATAGCCTTTTTGGGCATACGAGGCTACTGGGAGAAAAACGACAGAAAACAGGAGCCTTCGGCATCATCAAGCCCTCGGCATCAGAGGAGCCTCCGGCTGAACCAAACCTCCGGTCACACAGGGCCTTCGGCTACACAGGGGTCCTCGGTCACATGGAGCCCTCGGCTACGCAAGGAGCCTTCGGCCAAACATGCTCAATCATCGAAGATTCCCTTTGGAGACAGCCAACCACCGCATTTAATGCAACGTCACATCCGCCAACCGCATTCAATGCGGTGAACGTACCACTGCCGGTGCCACCCGATTGATGTGATCCCTCGGCCGTTGGATTGTTGACACGTGTGCTCTCATCGCATTTATTGCTGCTATAAATAGCAGTCCATTTCTACTTGTAAACGACCCCAACTCCACATCTCGAGTTCATTTAATAAAATCAACTCTCTCTCCTCCTATTTGCTCTGACTTCTCTCTAGTTATTCCCGCAATAACCCCTCGGATAAGATACCCCCCGGGTAGACTATCCATCACCCATCTTACGTCACTTCAAAAGATGAAGCTACAGACGCGGTGTTTACCATGACTCTATGAGATGTAGATACAACTAAAGCAGTATGACTGTAAACTTGATCAATAATCATTGTTTATTTAATATAATCTACAATTTACAGTTTTTTGAGACATGCAGTAATGAGTGTAAACAGTCAAAATTCTTAGCATTAATCTCAAAATGATTTGTTGACATTCTTAATCACTGTAATGTATGTGTATAGTAGTATAATACTGCGTATGAATCTATGTGTAGTGCTCTTCTGTTTACTCTCTATTATTCATCATTAATTCAAGTATTGATATGTCTGTATATTTTTTGGAAATATTTGATATTACATGAACAAATAGCTAATGCAATGAACACTAATTAATACTACATTACTACGTATAAAATTGGAATTCAAATATACAATCCTAATTTCGGCTAACCTAAAAGCATCCAACTATCCAGACCAATGATTGCTGGTTTTATGCTTATAGCAGTTCAATCCTCTCATTAGGGACGTACTTGGGCTTATCTTGGATATAGTAATAAAACCTGTCATAATTAAGACGCTTACAAATGAGAGGAATTTTAAAGATATTTGGCACATGGTTAAACACTTAAACATGTCATTGTTTTGGTGAAATCATGGTTTGGGATGAGGTGGAACATAATCTCAGGAGACTGAAAATGATTTAGTGTCATTCTTCTCATTACGGCAATACATGCTTATAATGATATTATAGTTCTTCAACATTATCTTATGATTAAAATTTAATGAAACATCGTTCATCATTTACTCTTAATCTTTCATGAAGAATACTTTATCATCAATTGCAGTTATTAAGGAAATTTTGAATTTGGTCGGACTAGATTTAATAGTCAAGACTGTAAACCAAAAAACCAAACTTTTCAACCGAGAAATTCAACTTCTTCGTCAATCTCAAATAGTGACCCCTTACACGAGATACATTCTCATGAATTTTTTAATATAATTAGATATTTCTGTTTTCGGAGTATCATGAGCTAAAATTGAAAGTGGGGTGCATCATGCATGTGATACTAATGAGGAATATAGATCACTCATTTGAATTGTGCTATGACACGTGACTTTTGGTGACTAAAATAATTCATATAATGAAGTCTCAAATGACGCATTGAGAAAACGTCAATTTCCCTTAATGGTTAGTTATGCAATGATCATTAACAAGTGCCAAGGGCAATCAATGAAAAAGGTTGACATCTACACACATTGACAATTTTTAGGCATAGACCGTTGTTTAAGGTGCTCGTGAGAATAACAAGTTCATTTGAGTTAAAGTTTGTGATATGTGATGAAAACGGATACCTAACGAAGTGTACGTTGAATGTTGTATACATAAATTACATATAATTTTATTGTAATTTGTAACTTCCCTTGAGAGCTTCGTGGACATACGTGCACAAATATTTAATCGTATGATGGTTTTCGTTTAATTTAGAATTTATTTCTCATTATTATTTTATTACTCTTACACCTTATTCATGATTGTATTTTTTTTATTTTTTTGGAGGATATTTATTTTTTAATAAATTGGCCTGCTATTCAAATTTTTGTAGTTTTATAAAATTGCTTCTAAACTTTATTTAGGTACTTCACTTCCGTGCAACGCACGGGTGAAAAAACTAGTACTAATAATAGACCGTGGGGGGTTTATCAGGAATACGAAGTCTGAAATCGCCGACTGATCCCAAACGCTAACGTGGGAAACGTTGCATCTCAGCCCTATTTTTCCAGCTCAAGCCTGTTTCAGCCTCTCAAACAAACATGTCTACTTTAATCATAATTGACTGGATTTACAAAATTTCAGCCTTTTATTAGCTGAATTGACATGCCAAACACAGCCAAAGGTTCAATAATGATTGAGAACATGTGTTATAATTTATTTGACCCGATAAAATAAAATATTACCTCTGTTCTCTTTTAATTGCAACATTGGACTTTTTACACTATTCACATATTCTACTTTGACTATATTTTATTAATTTATGTATTATAAATTAAATTTTTTAAAAATATTGTTAAATTCTTCTCATTCTAAATTTTCAAAATATGATTTTTTTTAAATTTTTTACTAATAAGGAATGAAAGATATTAATGGTCAAACTTGTGCGTTGGCAAACGTGAAATGTTGATTGTTGCAATTAAAAGGGAACAGAGGAAGTATAATAAAAATAGTCCGAGAATTGAAATACAGCTTTCGGGGTCAAATGTACACTTTGGGACATATTGGGATGACCTCTGAAATGGGTAGTTTTTACCCCCAAGGGATGTACACAAACCTTGGACGGTAAATGATCCTAAATACTCCAGGTTGGGGTTGAGTACCCTTGAACGGTAAATGATCCAGTATACTCCCGGTTGGGGTTGAGCAGGGGCGGATCCAGGATATTTAGTGGTTGGGGGGGACTTATTAAGAGAAAATATTTTTTTTTATATAATGTAGTACGTATAAATCAAGTTCACATGATGGAATAACCTAAAATTAACACACTATAAAGTATTATGAAGTACATTTTAGAGTCAATTCCTTAAATAGGACTAAAAAGTGGCAAAATTGCACAAATAAGACTACATTTTTTAAATTTCCTTAATAGGACTATTTATGTGTGTTTGGACAAATATACCCTTGTAACTTGTGAAATGTTTTAATTAATAATAAAATCATAAAAAATTAATAAAAATCGAAAAAAATACTAAAAAATCGTAAAAAAAACAGAAAATTAATAAAAATATTTTTTTAAAAAATAAAAAAATAATTTAAAAAAAAAATAAAAAAAATTAAAAAGAAAATCATAAAATTAAAATAAAAAACATTACCACCTCTGTCACCCCTAGCACCACCAGCTCCCATCACCGGAGAAACATATGCCAACATTTTAAATAATGCCATAATGATGGCATATTCAATGAAAATGTTGGCATATTGAAGAGTAATTATGCCATCTTTTTGGCATTTTCAGAAAAATATGACATTTTTTTACCAAAAGCGGAAGAAATTTCACCAATCGGAGGTGGTGGTGCTAGGTGGCGGCGGGAGGCGGTGGGAAAGGTATCTTAGTTAACGAATAAGACACTAAATAAATTAATTGATTTTCCGTTAGTAAACAAAAATACAAAATCATGTTATCCCGTGCACGACACGGGTAAAGATACTAGTATAATACTAATCCAACTAAATTTCACCATGTAATTTGATTGTCTAAAATAATCTGAAATAACTTAATAAACTTATGTGTAAAATATTACAGTAAATTACAGTCATCCAAATTTAACTATTAAAATAAGACATTTAGTTCAATCAACATGCAAAATTATAGACATTTACAATTGGATGGATATTAATTAACCTGGAAACTGGACGTTGGATGGAGCTGAGCGTATAAAACACCAAATCCTAGCCGTGTGATTTACCAACTAAATTCTAATGTACTCCGTATATGATTAGCGTCGTCTGATTGAGCTGGAGAATTAGGATGGCCATTTAAAATGCGCTATTTACAGGGATCAGTTAATTTTATGGTCAGTCAAACGTCGTGAATCGTGTGAGAACGTTTAAATGGGACGGAGGGCGTAATAAATATATGCATACAATAATAACTTTAATACTACATATAATGATAAATAATGTCACGGTTTGCGTCTTTGTTCAACGATAGGTTGGGTGCTCAGACCGGACCCCCACTGTCATGATTGGACCCGCCAGTGTTCCAAACCCCCGTTGTGTCTTCATGGTAAAATGAAGAATCCAGAAATGTGGGAAAATATGCATCCAGCTGTGTAGAGTACTAATAAGAATCCAATATTTATAAATTTATAAATAATTTTCATATTAAAACCAATATTTTTGGATCATTTACCGTCCAAGGGTTCTCAACCCCAACCTGGAGTATTCTGGATCATTTACTGCCCAAGGGTACTCAACCCCAGGGGCGGATGCATTTGAAAACCGATGGGGGCACATGCCCCCAATGACTTTGTAGTTTTGTTTACTTTTTATTAATAGATTTTATATAAAAAGGGAGGTGCCCCATTGAAAATAAAAGATGTCCCCATTAGTATTATCACATACTTGAACGGCAGTATCTTCATATTTCCTAATCCCTAACTCCCCACTCCTCATCATTTTAACCTATTATTTTAATAATTTAATTAGGAAAGAAGTTACTGGGCAAAATATCTTAGGGAGCAATACCTGAAGACAATTAGCTATTGTCGATTAAGTACTCCCAAGGTTTATTTGTGAATGGCTGGAGGTCTTTCGCTCAAAAGAGTGTAAATCAAAAGATTGCCAATTAAATTTTCTTCCATGTTTATATAAAGGGGAATTTTGAGTTTGCACCCCACTTTTTGGGTGATATTGGACTTTGCACTCCATTTTCAAAACTTTTAGACTTTGCACCCTATCTACAACATTTTGTGAAGAAAAATTCTTAAATGAGGTGCAAAGGCAAAGACATTTTAGGGGAAATAGGGTGCAAAGTCTAAAAGTTTTGAAAATGAGGTGTAAAGTGCAATATCACCCAAATAACAGGTGGCAAAGTAAAAATATCTCATATAAAACATTTTCTCCACTTTCTTTATCTTGGAGATCCACTTTTACATTTGTATTCCCTTTTTTCAGGTTAATAAATTTGTATTGCTCTTTCTTTTTACTATTTTGCTTTCTAGTTATGATTTTAATAACAAATTTATAAGTTAGTTATTTCTATTCAACTGTTAGATTACATTTTAAATTTTATAAATTATTATTTTCAGTTTTTATAAGGGTGCTAAATTGCTAATGATAGTAGGCTTTTGTTGTGTTACAAAGACTTAGTACACTTATTTATTTTTAGTTTTTTTTTTAATTATTTCGTTTTTGTTCATAACTAATTTGATACAAGAGGACAAAACATTTTGTTTGTGTCTTATTTGTAATGTCAAAATAGATATGTTTGATGCCGTTAGAAACCAATTAAATTGTGATGGGTTGTTTTCAAAAAATAAAACTCATATATAGAGCCGTTGTAATAAAATGTACAGAAATTGTCCTAAATAGGACTAATGAGTTCCTAAAAAGCACAAATAGGACTATTAGTTTTAAAATTCCCTAAATAGGACTAAACATTGATTTTCTACCCTAAATACCCCTAAGAGTATTAATTCATAATGAAATGTTTTAATTCATAATAAAATCATAAAAAACGAGAATATATTTTAAAACGTAAAAAAAATATAAAAATTTATAAAACATTTATAAAATAAAAAATTTAATTTTTTATTTTTTTTATTTTTTAAAAAAAAATAATAAAAAATAGTAAAAACCCATAAAAAATGAAAAAAATTATGGATACCTTTCCCACCGCCTCCCACGTTACTCGTTCCCGATAAACAGACAACTAGTTTCGGGCCCCACCAGAACCCGAGTTACTCGTTCCCGATCAAGCACGTTTAATCATTTAAAATCATTACTTCGAGGTTTACCTACCTCGAGGACTATCCGCCCTTGCTATCATAGTTTTCATTTCCGGGTTAACCCCGCCTCGAGGAGTACGCATAGTCCCTCATCCTATGTGTAATTTACTGGAGGTTAACACACCTCAAGGATTACACGAGCCCTTGTCACCTATATGCACTTTGATGGAGGTTAACACACCTCAAGGACTGCATTTGCCCTTGTTACCTATATGCAATTTGATGGAGGTTAAACACACCTCAAGGACTGCATTTGCCCTTGTTACCTATATGCAATTTGATGGAGGTTAAACACACCTCAAGGACTGCATTTGTCCTTGTTACCTATATGCACTTTGATGGAGGTTAACTCACCTCAAGGACTGCATTTGCCCTTGTTACCTATGTGTAATTTACTGGAGGTTAAACACACCTCAAGGACTACACTTGCCCTTGTTACCTTATCTTGCCTTGCAAGTTCTTTAACAATATAGTTTGTATCATCATACTCAAATCCACTTAGGGCTAACCTTTATCAAGGCTTCCCGTCTAACTCAAACCATGAATGGACCACTCCGGGTCCAAGTCGTGCTCATACAACTAGTTTCGGGCCCCACCAGAACCCGAGTTACTCATTGAGACATTTAAACTTAACATTTACATTACCGACCTTGGTTGTGATAACCCTAGGTCAACCATAGGTCAAACATAATTTTTAAGTTGCTACCCAACTTAAAATATCAAACCACGGCTAGCCTCGCACCGACTACCCACTCGAATTCATTGTTCGGAATTAAGTAGCTCCGACCGGCGCTGGACATTCCCCAACCGGCGCCGGACATTAGGCATACATTTACTCGGAAAACCAATCCAGCCGGCGCCGGACATCAGTCCACCGGCGCCGGACTTGCTTCATTTGGCCGGCAAAACACACGTAACCGGCGCCGGACCTGTGACAACCGGCGCCGGTCATCCTTGTTATAGATGGCCAAAACGCCTGTTTTGGACCGGCGCTTCTCAACCGGCGCAAAAATCACCCAACCGGCGCCGGACCTAGTCCAACCGGCGCCGGTCAACGCCATAACATTTTGGTCAACGCCTGTTTGACCATACAAACGGGGTCCGATTTCCACGAAATTTTATACACTTATACAACAAGTCATTCTTAGTCCAAAAATATCATTTTGGACGTTCAAATCGTCACACATAATTTATAATCATTTTCTGTCCAAATTAAAGCATATAAAGTATACTTATGAATACCATTAATAAGTAAATCTTGGCTTAATACATTCTTAGATGTATTTTAACATTTCATGGAATATCATTCTGATTTATTTGACTAATCTCATGCCCAAGCCCAAAGCATGGCTCATGATTCCATTTTACAACCTTTTATTCATACCATTAATTGATTAATCATTAATTATGTCATATTTCCATAATCCATAATTAATATGGCTAATCCCAAGTTCACATATCTTTTTATATATTTCTTTTACTAGATTACTCTAGTTAATCACATGCGTAGTCCAAGTATAATTCCTTATACATTTAAGAAATATATACTCATGATTAATTAATAAATTAATCTATTTTTTTTATTAGTCACATAATACTTCAAAAGTCCATATTTAACATGATTAATCACAAATTCACATACCTTTGTTTTTATATATATTTATTTACTAGATTCCTCTAGTTAATCTCATACATGGTCCAAGTATACCTTCTTATACATTTAAGAAATATATTCTTGATTAATTAATAAATTAATCTATTTTTCATTACTCATGTTCACCATGGCTAATCATGCATTTTAATACATTTAATCATTCTTCAAATCATGGTTATGATTTTATTTAGGTAATCCCACGTTTGAACCAAGAGTTACAAGACACGTAGTCGTCCACTCACCTTGAAATGACGCTAGCAAGCTTTTATCTTCTTTGTTCGAACTCCGGCAACTTTTGAATTTTCCGGCGAAAACTCCGGCGGCTCCGGCGACTTTTCAGGCCACTCATAGATTCCTTGAGAAGTATATAATATCTTGGTAAAAGACCTAACAAGGTTTCATAAACCAAAAGTGGTATAAACATCAAAACCTTCCGAGAAGGTGTTTTCCGGTGAACCGGTCTTACTCCGGTCATAACTCCGTTCATGGTTAGTATCCAACCCTTTGGATGATTAAATTACTGTATTAAGGTCTTATACTACACTTCTAATCGTGTAGGATATCCACTTTATTCGTTAATAGGGTTTATAAACAATTTTGGGTAATAACTAGAAACCAAATACAAACTGTTTTGAGAATCCAGATTTATACCTCGTGTGTTTATCTGCCCTTTTTGAGCTTTAAACACCTCGTATCCTTAAGTGCAGCACCTTGTATGAAAGCTCTCTTCAAGACCTATCTAATGACACCTCACTCAAGCTCATTGGATAAGAGATGCGTGAGGTATGAGGTGCACAATCTCGAGGGTTGAAATTGTACGAGCTAGTTGGCAGCCTTTTTCTCTTTTCTTGCTTCTTTCCCCTTGTTCATAGTTCGAGTAGAGCTGGTGGAGATGATGTTTTTGAGACTCTGTTCCTCCCTAATTGATGCTAGGGCCGAAGTAATATGAGGGTGGGTGAGTGAGATATCCTTTTTGTCTTTCATGTATGAATGGTGTGGGGGAAAGGTTCATTTGATGACTTGATTAATCCCCCCATCATCTCAATTCATTTCCAGCTCTTCAACATGGTTCTCCTCACTTATTTGAGACCATAAGTCGTGGGGTGGCCCCCACCCATGTGGGAGGTCATCCCTTTATGTCCCAAAGTGTATTTTCGGTCCCGAAAGTTGTATTTTCCGGACTGTTTTAATTAAGTTTTATTTTATCGGGTCAAATAAAATATGTATCAATATTCCAATCAATATTGGCCTCTATAATGAATATATATTACCCAACTTTAATTTAGTGGTCCCCGGGATTCATCTCGGGTTGTTATCTGATTAATTAACTATACCGATAATGCGACCTCGCTTGATCGAAAAGCCAACTTTATGGCTCAACATTAATTTACACCATCATACAAATATTATCTAGACCAAGATGAATATAATATGTGGTCTGTAAATATCGGATGGTCCCCGCCCATGTGTGGGCCCAACGTGCATTTTACTGTTCAAGTAACAGTAAAAATGAGAACACGTTGCTTCAAAAATTCGTTCATCATTTCTAATGACTAAATATGTGTTTTCATATTTTGTGACACTTTAATAAAATGTTACACTTATTCTTAAGTGGTCCGAACTGTGTGAACAGATAAAATATTATCTGTTTATTCTTATACGAAAATATCTTCAAGGTAGGGTCCTCCAAAAGCACCCACCTCCAACATGTCAAGTTACTCATTATTATCCATCATCCCATATTTTGGGTTCTTAAAATATTTATATTCCTTCTGTTATTAATTCGTAGTCTTCCGAATTATTATTAATCCGATAATTAATGATTCACAATTATCGGATAGAGACCCCGGCCCGCTTGGCCGTCTAGTTGTCGTTCCTTATATCACTGGGGTCCATGATCCATCCCTACTATCATAATAATATCATTTTAGTAAACATTAATATTTTATAAATAAACTTAGAATATCACGAGAGGTTCCACGTCAAAATTAATAACCCTTTATTAATTTAAGACATAATTTTACTTTCTCATTTATCAAAACTATTCTTAGTCTTGATTTACCTTCGTTAACCCAGTACTTGATGAAAATTTTTTCTCACAGTAAAATTCGGGTCCCGTGTTACATATGTTGTCCTTGTAAGTTGGGACAATGTAGCCCAGCATCTCTAGCAAAGCCATCAGCCCCAAGAGTATTCTTCATATTTGTACTTATTCTTTTGACCTTTATATGTAGGCTGATGTGTTTTTCTAAACTCTCACAGAAGCAGCAGGTGAATGGAGCTCACATAATTCTCTAATAGTATAGGTCAATTTGAATACAAAAAGGAGAGGTGACAAGGGAAATCTGATAAATGGAGCTAAGATGTAACGAATTGCTAGATTGGGTGTTAGGCATTATTAATATGAACAGAAATTTTAAGCGGGCCAATAAAGAATATTAATGTGGTCAATACATTTTTATTCTTTAACTTTGGGTATGGTTCTTTCATTTAATTCAAATTTTAGTTTGGATTCAATCCAACTTTCAATTTAGATTTTGAATATCTTAAGTTTAAGCACTACAAATATTTTGGAGATGAAATATTTTGAATTTTGTTGTATACTTTGTATATTATTGGAGATGAAATAACTTTATCATCGAATGGTAAATCATAATTTCCAATATGCAACGGAATTGAGGTAATATATGTATTTTCTTGTGTAAATTTTGAGAGTTTATCCTCAAACAATTGTGTACTTCCTTCACTCATTTGGAGTAAAAGTTTATGAAGATATTGAAACAAACAAAAGGTTGATATATGTTGTACATATTTTGGGCATTTTATGTGTCGCGCAACGCGCGTGTTAGAAAACTAGTTTATATACTACAGATATATAACAGATGTTAGGTAATTAATTATTCCCTCCGTCCTTGAAAATACTTACAACTTTCTCTTTTCGTCCGTCCCAAAAAGAACTTCGTTTTCCCTTTTTGGCAAAGAATTTGTGGTTCACAGCATTTCTCTCTCTTCTGCACAACTCTCCACCACACAATTCTCACTTTCGTAATCCACGTGCCACTTTATTATGGAAGTAAATTGACTGAGGGAGGTAGTATGTAGTATGTACTAATGTGTAGTGGTGTGTCGTATGTATTGCTGATTATGATTCATAAATTCTTCAATCATATATATGGTGCGTAGATCCACCGGGCCATCCAAGTTTGATAAAAAAAAATATGGTCCTATATTTTGTGTAAAATTTTGTGTAAAAAACCTCGGTTATTAAAAACAAAACTGGTCCATCTCAACATTTTCAATTCCATAAGGCACAGATTGTTGGACTATTTTCTCAAAAAAAAAAATAGGTACACATGTTAATCTTAAACATCCCTCTATTTTTCCAAAAAAAAAGGTTCACAAAAATGGTAAATTGTTATACTAGTAGATAGTAAAGATGGTTACTGGTTACTAATATCGATCATTGATTGTACGTTGGTCACCTGGTCTCGCAATAATGAAGCACGTAAAATCCATACTTACAACCTTGTGATGCAAAAATAATCTGTAATAATTAAGAAGACGATCCAATCATGAATGGACGAATCCGGACCGGCGCCAGTGTGGGAGGCGTGTGGTGCCGTTCTTCAACCCGAACCAGAAATAACGGATCCAATCCAGTCTCGAGAACCGGCCGGTTCTAGTCCCAACCGGTCCGGGACCTTACACCGGTAGTGTCCACCATTAACTATTATAAGTGTGGTCTAATGGCTTTGACTACATATATTGGTTGGGCTAATGTATATCACATATTCACATGGTATAATAATATGTAGCTAGAGTTTGTATTTCACTGTTTGAGTTACTAATTAATCTGTAATCTCTATATACTATATATCTATGTAGGCTCTTTTAGCAGGTGGTTCCGCGGGAGGGGTAGCAGTTGCGATCCATTGTGATGGATTTCGTGATCTCTTGCCCCACGCTACTAGGGTCAAGTGCTTGTCCGATGCCGGATACTTTTTCCCATCGTAAGATTGATATGTTTTTTTTTTTTTCAGAAGATTCTCTAAATAAGACTAAAACAGGGATTAAGTTCATCAATAATCAAATAAGTCCTATTTAGGCAGGGATTAAAGCATAATCGTCTCATTTTTAACTTTGTGTATGTTTTAGACCTATATTGGGAGCATGTTCTCTATTTTCCTTTTAGTTATTAATTAGAGATAATACGGAGTGTAATGTTAACTAATGAATTAAATATGACGGAATAAAATTGAAAATAATGTACTAATTTATCTTGGGTATGCATTAATTAAGAATTGTATTCAATGTATTGATGTGCATAATTTTCTTGCAGGAAAAAATTTGGGGGTGGTGAAAGTTTTACACCAACTTTTAAAGGGGTGGTGGCACATGTAATGCATAATCTCTTTGTTGTTCCTTTAATTAAATTCATTTCATTTACATGACTTTATATAATTTAATTTTTACCTTTTGGATATTTATTTATAAAAAAGAGTTGTAATGGTTTTTTATGCAATACGAAGCAGGGATCAATCAAGGCATTACCGGAAGAATGCACATCCAGATTAAGTCCATATCTGGTGATTTGTAGTGAATACAATTTTTAATATGAAGGGAAATTGGAAACTAATAATCCAACCTTTTAGCGGTCTTCTTTCAATAATCCCACCTTTTGATTATTCATGAATAATCCAACCTTTGCACCTCATCTTCATTCACTGGTCCTTGACCGGTTGATGGCCTGCTATTCCAAGCTATTTTCTTATCTTTGCAAATCATTATACCATAAATCTCATCTTTCACAAAGATAATATTTTGGAAAGATAAGAAAATAACTTGGAATAGTAGCTCATTAACCGACCAGGGACCAATGAATGAAGATGAGGTGCAAAGGTTGGATTATTCATGAATAATCAAAAGGTGGGATTATTGAAAGAAGACCGCTAAAAGGTTGGATTATTAGTTTCCATTTTCCCTAATATGAATAATGATAATGAAATCTCGTTATTGCTCAACTTTTGGAATATGACATTTCATTTTACTAATTATAGGATCATATTTAATCTGAACTTTTGCAGTGCTTCTTCCCCCAAAATGTGCAACAATCCATCAAAACGCCCATCTTTTTCTTGATGTCTGCATTTGATACTGTGCAGGTCACAATTCAGTTTTAATTACTTAATTATGTGATTCTTTATATTGGGAGTGCTCTTATTAATGCTCAGATACATATCATTTTCAGGTCACATGGACCTTTGCAGGAAATGACACAATTAAAAAGTGTCTGACTGATTCTATGAACTGCTCAAGTGACATTATTAAAACCCTCCAAGGTTGGTGACTTTTGTGACAAAGTACTTTTTTATATACACATTTATTAACAAGTTGAATACATCAAAAATGCTATTGCTACCCCCATTTTGTACCCCATTTTGTACTCACCCCCTATGTTTGTGGCTCACAAATGCACTTCATTAAAATGAAGCAATTTATTTAATGTGTTGGACTTTTGTGAGCCACAAAAATAGGGTGAGGTATAAAATGGGGTACAAAATGGGGTACTTATAGCAAAGTTGTGAATACATAGAGAGATCATTTTCTAATTTTCCCAAAAAGAAGTATGTGTATCATTGTAACAGTAAAATAAAAATAAATAAGAACAATTAATTACTCCCTCATATTCTTGATATAAGTCATAGATAACCAATGATTCCAGCCCAGCTGGTTGTGAGGTTATTGTGCCTATTGGGAGGTCTCGAGTTCGAATCTTGCTAGGCACATAAGGGTTTGAAACTTAATGGAGTGAGTTTCACCAATGATTACTCCAGGCCCCCTAGCCTCCCTCCCCCTGACCCCCTGGAGTAAAAAAAAGGAAAAAAAAAAAAAAGAAATCTTGATAAAAGTGATCATAGTTTGACCTTCATGAA